TCACGCTTGCTATCTCCAGAGGCTCTCAAATCTTGAATAACTGATCGGATAATTGCTTTTTCAACCAAAAATATAAGAAACAAGTTATATTTTATTTGTCAGGATCTGGTGAGCGTGAATGTAGCTATCGTAGCTATTAATTGGTGCGCGAACCTTGACAATATTATTTAATAATATGTGGTTTTTAAAAGAGATTAATACATAACAAAAATTTGTTGATGCACAGAAGAAGGAAAAATGATAAACTTTTCTGAACCCATTTGCTTCAGATTTTCCAATATTTCTAAACGTTTTTCATGAGCACATAAATTTGACCTTTCCTGGTGTGGCCTCCCTTGCTTCTGCTTCCACGTATCGGCGTCACTGGATTTTTCCCTCAACTTCATATGATTGCAAACGCTGATTGGTGTGCTTTGTGAATTAGGACGGGCGGGCCACGCACCAAATTGGCCGTTTTGTCTTGTTTATGCACGAAAATTGCGCGCTCTCGACAAATGTATTGTTTGCAAGGCCTTATCCGCCACTATAAAAATTCCCTTCATACCAGGAAGCTTTTCCGTAAAATCTCGGTATTCATTTGCACCGAGCGTATAATTGTGCAATTATTTATAATTGGTGAAAAAGCGGTGAAATTGAACATTTATCTTTTTGAACGTAATCCAATTACGCAGAGTGAAAGGAAAATTTGATATCTCTGATGTTTCCGCTTTCAAGTTCTTTCCGTTTGACAAAAAAAAAACTAATTTTTTTTAAGAGCTGAAAAGGTTACTCGACATCCAATTAGAGTGAAACAGAATCCACTTTTATGGATGTTGTCCTTTTTGATCTGCTTTTTCCGTTTGTCGAGATCAAAAATATTATTCAACTTTTTCGCTCTTTCCGAGTGGGAGACGCGCGTGTGTACTTATTTATTTCCAGCACTGTTGGCGCAGAGTTGGCAGCTCAAATTAAATGAGAGTTCGCATTGTGGAGTTGAGAGAACAGTGCCTTCTCTTGTTTTGCACTTCATGCAAATAATAAAGCAAAAATAGGCCGCACACAGGTTGCTTTTTATCCTTTTGTGAGGAGAAGTAGAGCACAAATATAAGCCAGGGCAGTTTATTAAATGCGAGAGACTTGCAAGTAATTTACTGACTATAAAACGTACCGAGCTGTTCCACTTTTTTTCTTCAGATTAAACAGACTGCAGCATTCCCTGCTGCATCCCTTGCCTTTAGCTAAACTTGAATGTAAATATTGAGCTGGAAAATATAACTTGAACTTGTGTCATGGGATGGAGATGCAAGTTTGTCTTTCATAAATTAAATTCTTTGTTGAAGGTTGTTGAAAAAAATGCGAGTACTATAACTTGCAGAAAAAGCATAGTATTTACAACAAGTTCTAAAATATTTTATAGAAAAGCACATGTTAACCTACTATTTTTATTTTTTATGTAAATTTTTAAAAAGTATAAAAAAATTACCGAAAGTTATACAATACAATTTCAACACATAAAATCGTTTGTGAAATAATTTTAATGAGAAACCATAACATTAATTGTTTGAGATTATTTTGGCATATCCATAAAAATTCATTTTTATAATTAATGGATTATCATGAGACAAAGCAGATAAATAAAATTTAATTATTTATTTACTTTCCAAAATTACTCATTATTGCTCCGATCAATATTTTTCTGTTAGTTACAAATACATAATTATTGAAATTAGTTATTCAATATCATAGCCTAAAAAATTTGCAACTAAAAACTAAAACTAGTGTATATTTCGATTTCAATTTTGAAGCCCTGTTCAATATTATATATGTGGATTTAAATAAAAAAAATCTTATATTCTATCAACATTATGAACTGATTTAAAACCTACTACTTTTCTTCTTTAAAATTACTAATTTTGTATTTTTTTATTGCCTTTCTGTGGTTCCTGCACATACTTGCTGCTGAGATTTAATAAAAACCAAATAATTGCGCTATTTCTCGTATGTCGCACCAACTTTGCTCATTCGTCGGAACGAAAAAGAAGCAAAAGGGTCTAAAACAAAAGGGCGTGTCACGCAACAAAATCAATTGGCGAGCCCCACGCTCGTCTCCGAAATTCCGACCAAAAAACTTGACTGCCCGAAGACGGATGTTTTAATTTATAGGCGCTCGCTGGCGCGAACTGGCAGCCTTTTTATTGCACGGAATGAACCTATAAAACTTGTTTCCAGAGACAAGCCGTCTTCAGTTGGATAGATTCGCGAGTTGCCGAGGGTGTTTCAGATAAAAAGAGAGAAAGAAATGGTGATGAGAAGAAGAAGTGCATGTTAAGGACAAGCGCAATGCAAATGAGGTGGCGCGGTACTCTAGTTTTCAAACAACAAGACACTTGATTGATTTGACGGCCAGTAGACCTCTAGCCTCGGCACAAAGACAATTCAACTGAGATTAAATCTGCTTGAAAATCACTTTTCATTTGCGTAGCATGTTTAACAGAAGGGACCTGAAATTTTACACAGAATATAATCTTTCCTTAAAAATAAAGTATGCTGGCTTTACTCTTTTTTACACTATTATTTGCAAGTGCACGGATAGCATTTTCCTCATTTTATCAAAACATTTATTATAAAAAAATTTTTTATTCGTTATAAAATAATTTATGTCTTCAAAAAATTATTTTAGAGTTTTAATAAATAATAATTATATTAATATTATTTCATGCCTGAGGAATTCTCAAATTTTATGGCGCCGTGTCTAATTATTGAAGGGCCCCTGAAGTCTAAATTTGTATGGTTTTAACGCTTTTGATTAAGCAGTCTGAACAACACATTTGCCAGGTGACCGAAAATTCGCCAATCGTATCTGCTCAGTTTGGAAGACAAAGTTAAATGTCAAGTAATTACAGTTAATTATATTATTTTATTATAACAAAAATATTTGAAATCCTTTCATAATTTAATCAACAACTTTTCAATAACCTTAACCGTACCCAGAATAAACTTCTCGGCAACAAATGTACATTTAAATTATTTTCCAGCTAAATGAGCAACTCTTCAAAAGAAACGCAAGTTAACATGTGAGGTGCAAATCGCAGCAGGCATTGAGTTTCAAGAGCAAATATTTGACTGCAGCAAATCCTTAATGAGAACGCGCAAAAGGAAGCTTTGCAATCGACAATGGCGGCGTGGTTGCGGATTAGCTGCGCCTTACACAGTTTCACACACTCTCATGATTCTCGGGCGTGATTAAAGAGCAGAGGTGCCGCTGCAAATCTCGGTTGTCACTCCCTCCGAGAGAGAGATGCCCTAATCTCGGCTTGATGGCTGTTGCCGAGCGAAAAAAATCACGTGCAAAAACATATCGCGCCCGATTTGCCGCCGTGAATTTTGCATGAGACACGTATCAGCCTAATTTGGAAATCTGCTGGTGTTTCGCCTTAGTTTCTACAGCCGTCTTTTAAAAGTTTGAACGACGCGTGCTTTAGATGTTGCAGCTCTCGACAACATCATTAAATATTTAGCGGCAGAAAAGAAGAAGCGAGGGTCCCAAATGCCTTTGGCAGGAAAGCCGGAATCGGGAAAATATGAAAGTTTGAAAATGGGCAAAACTTATGTTGACGCAATTCTGGTGCAGCGAAATTTATTTATAGCATATTATATTTTGATAAATTTTAAATACAGAGGCAAATGTTCTTGGTTTGAAAAAAATTCAGATACCATGAGAGAAAGTTAATTCACATTTTTTTTATTTACTTAATATTTATGGTTCAAAATAATTAATATAAATTACGCAAGCAATCTATATATAATAGAAATCAATTTATTGTTTAGAGCTAAAAATTGAGCTTAAATTGATTAAGCATTTTCTTTTTTTTCAATTTATATAATTTAAACGTTTCTCTCTCATGATTTATTTTCATGATTTTGTTGTAAACAGCAAGTGCGAAGAGTGCAAAAAAACTTTGTAATTAAAGAAGAAGGAAAAAATGTCTTTTTACGCACTCTTTATGAAATTAAATTATGAGTGTTTTTGTTATAAAAATATATTTTTATCTTGTGAGAATATAAGGGAATGAAAAATGTGTCACAGGAGAAGAAAAAGAAGGTTCTCCGTTCTGCGATGGACAAATGATTTTCACTAGACTCGCTCGTCTTTTTCAGTGTCAGAGGCCGGTCGGGCCGAACGATAGAAAATGCACTTATGAGAAATTTCCCGAGAGCACATTTTCGGCGTGAATTGGAGGCAGGCAGGCAGGGATGAGACGTATCTCTGGCGGACAAAGGGTGCGCTCAGTAATAGAGCAGTCATCTTTGACACGGGCAGGAAGCGAGCGGAGAAAAAGAGCCGAGGATTGAGTGGGTTCGGCTGCCAGCCGGCAGCTATTGTGCGCCATGCAAAAAAGGGAAAAATTGATTTTATAATTATATAGCCGGTGCTCTTTGAAAGCGGCGCGAGGGAGACCAAGCGAGGGTGGAGCACAAGTGCATCTTCTGCAACCCCAACTCTCCGCACCCACGTTTCAATTAGGCGTTTTTTTTTTTCTGTCACCGGACCACTTTCCCGCTCGCAGCGTGAGTGTGCATAATAAATGAATGGGCTGCAACCGTAATTTTCGCTTCCGTGCGCACCATTACTCATTTCACTCTTTTTGTAATAAAAAATTCAACGTTATTCTTATTTGCATGTTTAATTTTTTAATTTCACTTTTATTTTATTATTTCAGTTATAATAATATAAATATAATTTATTAATGTTCAATTTGGGAAAACTATTCTAAAATATAAATAAAAAAAACGTCTTGCAAAAAAATCCGCATTAAAGCTTGAAAAGAAATTATAGGAATTTAGGAATATAAATATGTTGCATGTTTTAATTTCACAGGATTCCTTCAAGAACTTCAGCAATGAGTAATAATATAAATATCATTCGCAACTAAATAATTGTTAGCAAATACGATAGAAAAATAATTTTAGTAAAAATTTTTCATAGCAAAATTATAACACGGGATGATTTTGTGTTGCAGGTACATGCCACCGTTGACCCCATCGCGGTGGCGGGGGCCCAAGATGGCTGACGTGGCGTCACCCGCGTGCCCCCAGGCGTCCCCAGAAGTGACCATCTCTTCGCCGGAAGCGCTGCTGCACCTGCCCAGGGGCCGCGTGACCCTGATGCGGAAGCTGCTGCCAATGCTGGCCAACTTCAGCGAGGACTGCCTTTACCTCAACCTTTTCATCCCGCGTCCAGGTATGTTAGCAATTTAGCTTTACAGGCCTGTAAAACTTTCAAAAAATCATCTTGTTAGATTTATCACTTATATTGAATATTATTTTAAGCTAGGATTATTTTTGTAGAAGATATTGATTGTGTAAGCCGTGGTTTAAAATAATGCTTGAATCGGTACATGAGTAACGTTTTGTGAAAGGTTTTCCGACCCTTCACTGATTTCAAGTGTGAGGAAAGTCATTTTGGGCTAAACACAAGGCTCTGCAATTTGCGGCGCCGTGCACTTGGCGCGCTTTACGAGAGAAGAGCCTTTTGGCTGGCGAAAGGTCCGCTGATGGAGTGTGTAATTTGATTTTAATGACGCGAGACTGTTTTGCTTTGTTAGTTATTCATTAGTGGCGGCGGTTTGCAGCTCGTCTCATCTTTTAAGAGAGATGGCCTCGCATTTTGCGGTTGCCGGCGCAAACACTCGTCCGCCCGCTTATCTCGCTAACGCACTTACGCGCCTTTTTATTCCCAGCATCAACATCAAGCCTAGTGCGGTTCCAGTTCAGATTAAGTTCGGGTCGCAAACACACGTCACAACTCCAACGCGGCGGATTGTGGCGACTTGACCAGAAGGGCTTTTAAAAACATTTAATTCGGTTTAATCTGTGACTGTTTTCAAATGGCGTCCAGGAGGGTTTTGTGCCTAAAGAACTTCTTAAAATAATGGACTAACAATAAGGATAAACAGGAGATAATTGAATTAATTTTTCTACACTTATAATTATTTTAAAGCGTGTCGTCCAAAGCTGCAATCGGAATTCTGGATTTTATTTGAGGATTCAATGATTAATGGATATAAAATCTTATTAAATTTGATTAAAAACACTGCGTTTGAAACAACCTCATGAGAGTCCTGACATAACTATGATAAAAGAAATACTATTCTTGAGAGAATATTACCTCAAGTAACCCTCATAATCCATTTAATATTCTGAATTCTTCAGAGGGGACGGATATTAAAATTTGGTTCCACAAATGTTTTCGAATTTTTTATATTTAGCTACAATTAACCATTTTTTTTTAAAGTATTTTATTTTAAGCGCATTAAATTGTAGATCTCGCCTAAAAAAATGAAGTTATTCTCTGCAGTGTCTAAGTGACTGCACTTGCCTTCAACGTTGATTCCGGCAATACGTTAACCCAGTCAGAGTAAGATAAATATTTAAAGCACACGGGAGGATCAAGCGGCACAGAGAAGTCGTAAAATGTCACACACGGTGCGTCCCTTTAAGGGGATACTTTAAAAGCATGCCGCGAGAGGACATAAGTCACGCAGTCCGTGCCTTAAATTTCCCGTCACCTGCAGTGCATTGCAAGGGCCGAAAAGTAGAAACATTTATAGAGGAGGGCGAATGTACATTTAGTTTGCGCACGGAAAAGGGATTTGAGGTTTTATCAGACTGGCAATTTAAATAGAAAATTTTCCCAAGCTTCGCCCGGTGCTAGATATAGAGTTTCATGAGAGAGGAGCCGCAAATGCTCTCTCTTTCTATCCCTGTGAGGTATTTAAAAGCTCACCCCAGCAGTGGCAGGTTTGCAAAGCTTCTAGTATGAATGATCGTCTTTTTATTAGCGAGAGCCCGTTTTCAGAGTCGATCCGACAGCAGCCCCGAAAGTTTAAAACCCATCACGGAAAAGCTAGAGGGAGAGACTCGCTTTCTCTCTTTTTGCTTTTCCGAGCCAAGGAAAAATCGGGGTTGGTATTTATTGGTGGATCTGCGAGAACTCTGGCAGCTAGTGAAGCGTGTTAAAAAGAGACCCTTTGGCCTTTATTTTGTACCTAGTGCTGGATTGTTTGATTTGCGGCCGACGCTTAATTTTCTATTGGCTGAGCAACCTGATTGCCTTTCCGAGAGCTAGGGAGAGAAATAAAGCCGCTGCCTGCAATCGTACCTTCCGTTCGATCGAGTGAAATAGTGGCCTGGCAAACTTTTAAACCGGGCCTGCGAAGCACCAACGAAAATCTAATCAGAGTGTATAAAAACTTCCTTTGGCTTCTGCCTCGACTCCAAAAGAGATTTGAAAAATAAAGCGAGAGAGGAAATAAGCTCAATTAATTAATTAAGATCCACCTTTTCTCTTAAATTGAACATATAAGAAACCTTGCATGACGAGACATTTTTCTTTGGTATCTAATTAACTAAGTAAATCACACAAAAAATTCAAATTTACATGCAAGGTATTCAAAGCAGATGTATTTGTTTGAGCAAACAACATTTATGGAGTCTAGGCGGCTAGCCAAATTCAGAAGGCATTTGGTTGGCTTCGCTCGTCGAGCCAGCTAGGCAATTTATCATCGTCTGATTAGGCAATCAAACAATGTGCCTGCGTTAATCCAGCGAAACGGCCTCGCAGTGGTATTCATGCAGTCTGGCCGCTCGTTCGGCAGTTAAAGGTAATTTTGCCCCATGGGACCAGGGCGGCTTACCATTGATTCCGTTAGCTGCGCTTGTGTTTGTTCAACACGGCCACTTTTACTACTTGTCAGAATCGCGCGAACGTGGTGATTTTGCATGATTGAACTCTCGCACCATTGCCTGTTCATAAACTCACCTATGAGTAAGAAGTGAAAATTTTACACACAAAATGTTTAAAAGGACTAACCTCTGATAATTTATATTTTAAATAAAAAATAAATGATGCGAAACATAAATCAATAATTTTGATTATACAGTTAAATTTTCTGAGAAAAAAAAATACTTTAAATGTGTACATGTTAAATATTTTCGAATATGGACTTTAAAATTAAATTTTAGAAGTTAATTAATCTTTGGAGGGTCATCTTTTCGCTTTCCCTCCTGCATTCTGGAAAATTTTAAACCAAAGTTTTACTTTTTCTAAAACAATGATTTACATAAGTAATTTCTAAATCTGTTTTTGAATCATTTGGAAAAATTATACAAACTTTTAACAAGTTCTTTTAAATTTTAAATCAGTCAATTGTGTACTAAGGGTTCATTTAGCATTGGGACGAAATTGTCTAAAAATTATAATAAGCAGCTATTAATTAAGTAAAAGCAAATGAAATAAGCTGTCGAGAATTTTCTTATGTGTAGTAAAAGATACAAACAAATTTTAAAAGAATAACATTTTAACTATCTCATTATTATAATTTAATTTAACACTATGAAAATAAGAAAAACCATTCCATTGATCTCAAAATATTTATTTTATAAGTGCGCAAGGGCGATTAAACAGACTTTTTTTTAAAAAAAAAACAACGAGAAACTCTTTGAAATGAAAACAAGAGAGCCGTGTAATTTATCAAAGTGGCCTTTTGACAAGGGGCCATACCAGAGGGCCGTCGACAGGATTATGTCGTGATAATATTAAAGTACTAACGTGGAACCTTTGCTTTCATTATTCACGAGCGCGTTGACATATTTTTTTGTGCGCATCTGATAAGCTCTATGTATGCGTATAATTAAATTTGGCTGGAGCCAACAGCACGTTATCGGCTCGGAGGGGCCAATTAAAATCATTACGTGCCATTTTTTCACAGCTTGATTTTTGCACGCTCTCTCGTTAAATCCCTGGCCTGCGAAGTTGAAACGACGATTTCCGGATAGCAAAAAAGAAAGAGGGAAAAAAGAGGCCGGGGAATTCGGGCCGGGGTAATAAACAGGCGCGTTTTCCCCATGACGAGAGTGGAATTTTTCGCAAAGCTGGCGTGAGGATATGCCAAATATTCCCACTTTAATTTCGAGTGTCGCTGCAGCGTACGTTTTTGCCCGGCTGCCGTTTTTTTAATTTGACGTGCTGGCTGCTTTTTATACACACAAGGCCATATTGACCTGCCACGCAGGCGAATTTACAGCCTTACAGGTGTCTTTTGCCCGCGCCTGGATTTATTTTTCAAAGGCCACGGGTTATCTCGCATGCTCAAAAGCCGAAAGGAACCCGATTAAATAATTTATGTATCCCCTCAAGTTGGGGTGCAACTTTTCTATGCCTCCCAGTGGATGTTTTTTCTTCTTCTCTCTTCTTTCGATTGACCCACGTGCGCCAAACGGAGGAGATTTTCCTGCAACTTTGGGTTTCAACGCTGGTCCGTGCTTTGTTGCAAACCACATGCGACCCGGAGCAGCAAAGCTTGTGGTGGCAACAACTGCTCCCGTGGAATGTCATGCATTGGGATCCGTGTATACATGCTTGGCATTGCGTGCGGACGGAAAATAGTTACCTTATTTTTCCACAGGCAAGCGCTGGACCAGTTTCCAATCTAAAGAGGAGTTTTTGCTCAAGCAAATTGCATATTTAGATTTAGATTTTAGATTTTTATGAACTGGTATTTTACTCATGAATATTTAAGAGCCTCCTTCTGGAAAAAATTAAAAATATGAAATATAAAATTATATATCATTTAATGTAGTCAAAAAGTAATATTTTATTATACTGAGAAACATAAGAAACATTATGTTTTGTCCATTTTTTTTAAGGTAATGCTACAAATGATTAATATTTGTCAAACTATTCAAATTTAAAAATCAACATCATATAAACTAAAAATCGTTGCAACTGTAAGTTAAACAAACCTCAAAATAACTCAGAATCCCCATGTTCGGCCTTTTCATATTGTTTCTGCCTAAATTTATTGATTCATCAATCTCTTTGTGTGTGCGATAAGAGGAAGCAAATTTGGAGTTGGCAGGGCTACTGTACACGAGGCGAACGGGAAAACACGAGCGCGCCACTGGCCGGGTCGATAGCATCAAAAAATTTATTCGCCACCACGGCTGCTGGTCCCAGGGATGACCCATCCAGCGGACGCGCTTGAAAACGAGCGCGTGTCATCAAAATTGAAATTATCTCGTGTCGCTGCGCTGCCGGAGAATTATTCATCGCCGACGGCGAGTTTAGTGCAGGAGCAGGAAATTAATCGCGGAAAGGACACGAGAGCAGTACTTAGCTCGCTTAATTATTCTCCACTGCTGCTGCGCTGCGCCGATTTTGCGAGATAAGGTTTGCTTTGC